ACTTAGAAGTGCAAATGGGCACAGGTTCATGTTCTGGCTGCTCTACTTCCCATCCAGCTCTCTGCTTGTAGGTGATGGCCCAAAGTCTTAGAACTCTACAATCATGTGGGAGATGAGTAAGAAGTTCCTGACTCCTGCCTTCAGACCACTCAGCTCTGATCATTGCAAGCACTTGGGGAGGGGCAGTGAACCACAGGGTGGAAGATCTATTTATCTTTGCTTCTCTCTGTAGATCTGCCTTACCAAGAAAAATAAGTAAATCTCAAAAAGAGAGAAAGAAAAGAAAAAAAAAAAGAAGTACTTGAATACCTGCACCAGTTATGCCTGGGTCATGCGGAAGGAAGCTAGGAACCAGGATTTTCATTTGGTTTCCTGTAAAGCTACAGAGAACCAAGCACTTGGCCATCTTCTGCTGCTTTTCCATGAACATTGGCAAGAAGCTAGATCAGAACTGGGGTCCTTGTGCCCAAGCATCCCAATGATGGCTTCACTTACTATACCATAATGCTGGCTCCTATTTCATGATCTTTTATACCCCTTGATTTTACAATCTTGTGCTACTCTGCTAATCATATAACTGTGGGTAAATTTCTTGTGTGGGGGTAAATTTTTTAAGCCTCAGAGGCTTCAACTCTTCTTATCAGATAAAACAGTAGAACTAAGAATTTAAATAATCTTATATGATTGTTAAAATGGAGAAGAAAACTTACCTAATATTGTAAGTGGAATATTGCAATTTTTATAATTAATGATGTTCCCTGCCTTCTTTTTAAGTGTGTTTCCATCCTAATCTGTTTTAGATGGGAGTGGAGAAGCTGGTGGGATTCTTAAGGAAACATGAAATTCTTGGAAACAGAAGTTTTCAGGAGCTCCTCCTGTGATTTCTATATGCCTCATATGTGTGCTTTCCTAAAATACCCACAAGGCTACTCCATGATTTAGGTTTGATCTGCTGCCTTTGAACTTGATGTTTTATCCTGCTTCTCTTATGATATAATTTGATTGTTGCTATTGTGTTCAACTTTTACGTTTTGGAGTGCCCCCAAAGGCTTAGGTTAGGCTTCCCTTATGTACAAAAGCTTGCAGTGTCCTTAAATGTGCGAAACTTTTCCTGGCTACCAACTTTTGCAGATAAAATAATGCAGGATGAGAGTCAGGATATAAGTTTTAAAATGATTATACATGAAATCGTGATAGTCTTTATGAAAAAAAAAATCACGAGTTAGGCCTGTGCTGTGCTCTGGCCATTCTTTCTAGGACTGTTAGAAAGGTTGGTTGCAAATGCCTTGACATGACAGTTCAGGGTAATACTCCTCTGGGATTGACAGGAAAAGGAGACAGAGCTATAGATTCCTTGGTCCATGAGAATTGTTGCTTTTATAAGTGACCCTTATAACAAAAAAGCAGAGCCCAAGAGGTGAGCAAAGGAGAGCAAAGTGAGTGCATGGGTCTGGCAACATTTCCTGCAGCCATGAGCTTTGTCTGCACGCAGGTCCTCAGTTCAGATTCTTCATTTAAATAGAGTCATTGTTTGTCACTTGAGTGGAAAATCAGAGGAAATAGGTTATGAGTCAGGCATCCATTTGTTTTGAAAGGGATTTTTTCAAAGGAAGTCAGAAATGTAAAAAAAAAAAAAAGATTTTTATGGAAGATGATAGGGACAAGGACAAAATAAGGGATAGTGGGGGTTAATGAGGTGCTTACCATTGCTCATGGCCTGTCATCCTGGGATGGTAGGTATCAAACTTGAACTATAATCGAATAGTGAAGCAATTTTTGGAGAAGAGCTTTCACCCTGGGGAAGATTTCTAAGACATAATAGAAACAGTTTGAAGGAGCGGATCCTCCTCCTCCTTCATTGGAAGGACAGTTGCTTAAAATGCCTCCCTCTTCATTGGACTGAGAACATATTGCAGTGTATGTAACTTTATAGTGTAGCAGCTGATCAGCAAGTTGGATAAAATCACATTATTTATTTCTAATATTAACATTTGATGGTTTTATTGCAGTACAATAGGCTTCCTTTACAATCCATGCTTTTAAAAAGCAGGTTCATTTGAAACGCAGATTTACAGAGAAGGAAAGAGAAAAAGATCGTTGACTCACTGCTTCACTCTCCAAATGGCCACCACAGCCAGAGCTGAGCCTATCTAGAGCCAGGAGCCTTTTCCAGGTCTCCCAAGCCAGGGACCCTTTTTTTCAGGTCCCAACCTTTGAACTAACCTCCACTGCTCTCCCATAAGCAGGGAGCTGGATGGGGAGTGAAGCTGCCAAGACATGAACTAGCACCCATTTGGGATGCTGGAGCTTGTATATGGAGGATTAACATGTTGGACCATCATACTTTTTAAAATTAAATCTGTGTATTTCATATATGCAGGTGTAAGAGCATAATTATACTTATGCAAGTCTTGGTGCAGGTCTAGATGTCCTGATCAGCATCTGCTGTGTGTTCTTAAGACTCTGGTTTTTCCCTTATGTCATCTAAGAAGAGAAAAAGGCATTGTGGTGCTATGAAGGCCACCATAAGTAAGGAAATCATTTGGTGTCCATGGCAAAGACACAACTATGTTCTGCTGAAAACTCCAGTTTGTAGTTTAAGCTTGGCTTCATTTCTTGATAGTTGGTGAATTTTTTTCAAAACTCATCAAAAGTAATAAAATTCATGAATCACAGAACAATCTCATTGAAGCAAAAATTGATCTTTAACTTGTCATCTTGAGATAAACATAGCAAGCTGCTATATATCTTCTAATACATAAAATAATATGTATGCATATACATTTGGTAGGATATTTTGTGCTTATTGTATAGCAGTCTCTTTCATCAGTAATGTTTCAAGAATTTTTTTAAGTGCTGGAATCTGGATGTACAAATCAAACCCAGGCATTTTGATATGGGAAGTGAACATCCTTTATTATTATTATTGTTTTATTGTAAAGTCAGATATATAGAGAGAGGAGAAAAGAGAGGAATATCTTCTGTCCAGTAATTCACTCTCCAAGTGACCACAATAGCCAGAGCTGTGCTGATCCAAAGCCAGGAGCCAGAAGCTCTTCTGGGTCTCCCATGTGGGTGTAGGGCCCCAAGGCTTTGGGCCATTCTCAACTGCCTTCCCAGGCCACAAGCAGGGAGCCGGATGGGAAGCGGGGCTGCCGGGTTTAGAACTGGATCCTGGCGGACTGAAGGAGAAGACCTTAGTCACTAGGCTACTGTGCTGGGTCTGTTTCAAGATTTTTATGTCATTGTAAATTATATTCCTTCTCAAAATATCTTCCAAACCTATGGAACATTTTTAAATAGATCTCTATAAGCATAAACATTAGATTCAATTCTTCTGTATTCAAGGACATCTTACTGAAATCTGATGAGTGTTCATCTATTATTCAACAAATATTTATGGAGTGTCTGTTCATGTTATGCAATTAGAAGTTGCTTGTAGGGATGAAAAAAAAAACAAAACAAAACAGAGACACAAATAGTCGCCTCTTTCAAGAGACTTGGTCATGAAAATGAGTTGATCTCTCCTAAATGAGAAGGATCGTTTAAACAATGCCTTTCTTTTTCCCTTTGTGTTTTTTCTTCTTTCTTTTTCTCTCCTTTGAAAAAATTCTTTAGTTTTCTTTGTATTTCTGGTTCCCAAAACCGACTGTCGGGGCTGGTTTGTCTTTCTTCCATGCTATATCGTGTAAGAGTCTAATAAAATTGTATGGGATTGGTTTGTTAACTACATGTATGTTGGAAAGTATTAAAAATATCATTCCAGTGATTAAAGTTGATATACTTTTATAACAACAAACAGGAACTTCTATAGAAAACCTGAAATTTAACTCCAGGGTAATTAGGAAAGCAGCTTAATCATGTATGTCTCAGAAACTGCTGGCTGCACAGTAAAACCAATTGTGCTTTGGCAGCAGGGCAGCAGAGTTTCCAACTCGAATGGTGGTCATAACCTTGCTTTACTGGGGTAGCAAAGTATTTTCATGAAATCACTGTTATCTCATTGTGCCTGTCAAGTCAGAGCCACCTCATTATTACTTGCCCAGTTTAGTTGGTGGGTTAGCTTTTTTGTTAAACACACACTTCTCTGAAGTTAAGGCTGTGGGGTTGATTACAATTGAATCATAGATTCCCTAGATGCTTCAGGACCACAAGTGGCATTTCTTAGCTCTAGGCAACCCCTATTGAAAATCATACTCTTGTAGACAGAAAGAGAAAAGAATGCACGCAGAGCTCATGGTGGCTGTCTCAGTCATGGCTGCAGTAGTCCCATCTTCCGATGACTCTTGTTCCCCCATTTCCCCCAGTGTAACAGCCATCATAATGTTATATGGAGAAAGGGAGATCATTGCATGTGGCAAAATAACCATGTGAGCCCTTGAAGGGAGGAGAGCAGAGGCGGGAGTAAGGCAGGTTTGCAGTATAAGTAGGCCTGCACACAGTGTTGCTGGCTTGAGGGTGGTCGAAGGGAGGCATGTGGAATGAGTGACAAGGACATTAATATTGCCAAAAAACAGAGAAAGTTGGAAGATCCATCCACCAAGGGCATAGAATTTTACACGCTTTAAATGAGGTAAAAATGGATTTTATGAAACTTTTAACATTTACTTCTAAATTATAGAACATCATTCAAGTGATGAAGCCATGATATATACATATAATTGATATTAATGAAAATATTCTTGTGATAAGCTAACAATTGATAGGTCTAGAAGTGATCTAATAGAAATATACTCAAACTGCCTTGGAGGAGGTTCACTGAATCCTACCTGGTAGATCTGAAAGGCTTTCCTAGAGAAAATAGGGACTTTATAGAGAATATAAGAGGAAGCTCAACTTAAGTTGACAGACCCAGGGAAAATAAATTTTCCTGGTGCTACACATGACAGTGAAAGTAGGGGTAGGCGTAAATCTACTGCGATTAGTCAAGAAGAGGGGATTAGTCATTGGAGAAGTCAACTTGGAACTTTTCCTCTTTTACTTCAGGTCTCAGAGCAATCATCTTGGAGAGGAATACTCTTCGCAAGAGCCATGCTCAGAAGTCCCCTCCCCTAGGAGTAGAAGAAACATCAGTCAAGGGGATACCGATAGCTCTGTATTAAAGTCTGAAAAGCTTTAGAGGTGAGTCGTGTTTCATGGAAGCTATCCCTCCCGGAAGTAGCTAAACCACAGGCATCAGAGACAGCCTATTCATGACCTAGAAAACACAGACACACACACACACACACACACACACACACACACACACACACACACACACTAAAAGTCACATAGTTGTTGTTTCTTGAATTCCTCATTTACAAAACTTTCACAGTTGTCATTCTTGCTCATTTTACATACTTATTCATTTTAGTAAGTCAATATAATGATGAATTAAAAATTTAGAAGAACTAATGTTTATTGTTTTTATGATTACATTTCTTTGAACTATGTTCTGTAGATATATTTTATTAATGTGAATCAATTTACAATGAATCTGCAGTTTTTATTTTTTAAAAATACTTATTTTGTAAGGAAGACAGGGGGAGACAAAGACAGAAAGAGATCTGCCATCTGTTGCTGAACTTCCGATGTTCACCATAGCTGGGACCATGTTGGGTTGAAGCTAAGAGCCCAGAACTCAGTCTGAAAGTTACCTAATTACTTGGGCCAACACCTTTACTCCTCAAATGTACATTAGCAGCAGGCTGGAATCAACAGCAGATCTAGGACTTCACCCTGCGTGAAACAATATGGGCTGTGGATGTGCTAAGCAATAAGCTAAACACTACACCAAATATATCCTATCACCTTCCCATCAAAACAGTGTTTGCTTTGAGGAGGCATGTTACAAAGCTGTCTTATGTGGTTGGGGACTGAAAAGAATAATCAATACATCACCAGATGAAGTGGCTTACCTCATGGACTCATGTGGAAAACAAAACATATCTGCTTAGGACTTTAATACTTTCTGCCAATATGATCATAAAAAATTGACTGCTGGAACTTAGTAAATTCCTCAGAGATTGAGCAGATACAGATGAGTTGGTAGGGGAAAGGGCAAAAGTGAGCGTTAGAACTATTTCCCGTCTCTCATCCTACTGTGTTTTGAGAAGGTAATGGATCTGCAAATAAACCAAGATCTTTTGTAGAAGGAACACTTGTGAAAATAATGAAATTTAATCATTTCTTGTTAAGTTGTCTTTGTGCCTTTTGGAGGGAGAGGGACTATAACGTTCTCCACGTTCTTATGAGCCCTCTTTGCTTGCAATTAGTACACCTGTTAATAAAGGTGAAGCCAACAGTGATTGTGGTGAAAGCGAAGGTGCCTTTGGAGGATCATACCTCTGTTAACTTATCACTGAATCTTAAGGATTATGAGCAAGACAGAGGATTTAGATGAATGCCAATCAAAACACTGATGAATTCATGTGGGCATAAAGGGAGACCAAATATGGAAAAACATCATCAAGTGACACATGATTCTTTCTCATCTTTCTATCACTCTGTGATTCTTCCCACCATCTGATTGGTCCAGTCTATCAGGAATCCTACTTATGGCTGGTGCCAACCTAAATGTTTGCCTTCACCTTATGTCATCATTGATTAGTTTTCAGAAATCAGGATGTTTTTTCCACTTGGAGATGTCTGGTTGAGCAGGTTTCAGAGTGATCAAGGAAATACCATTGCCCTCACACTCAGTGTTCCAGTTGTTCTGGCAGCCCTCTGGGTGCCTGCTGAATGAGGTCATATGCTTAATAGGGTAATGTCTTACCTAAGAGGACTGAAACAAAAAGTGACCTTTCTATGTCTACCAGTCAGAACAGCTACACGGAAGAAGTTAAGAAATATAATGGATTATGCACAGTACTTACAGGAAGGCAGACACAGACTGACTTTGTGAGCAACTGATCTTGTCCCTTGGACTTGTCGTGTCTTCTGACTTATATAACAAAAGTGCCATGAAGAGTGCTTGGAATAATTATAATAGGATATTGGCACACTAAAGTCCAGTTCTTTGCTTTTGTGATGACTTAGCTTCTAGGAAATCTGACGCATGTTATATAATTGCTCAAAAGAATTATACATGTATGCTTGCTATGGAGCAGACCACTTTGGATAGCTATTATACCTTATCTTGAAGTTTTGTTCTGGTGTTCCGTTAAGGGCTAGTGGCCTTTAGGCCTGCCACCTTGGCTACAGGGTCACTTTAGGTAGACAGACAGATACTTTGAGAAGCATGTCACAATGGAAGCTTCAAATTGTTCACGTTGACAGTCTGCATCCTGTCTGAGACAAAGTGAGTATTGTTTGGATTATATTTAGAATTGTTCACTTAAGAATTTTTATGTGAACATGTGGAAAGCCCTTTTGTGGACCAGGGTAAGTGTTCTATTCCCTCTCTAAGCTGTCCACACAACTTGCAGATAAATATAACCATACTTCCAAATACCGTTCTATCTGGAATAGACTTTATGTGTTCCCCAAATTCGTATTTAAAAGCCCTAAATCTTCAAGGTGGTGATATCAGGAAGTGTGCAGTCCGTGGGAAGTGATTAATTTATGGAAGACGACTGCATAAATGGGAGTAATCTATCCATCACAGACTAACAGTCCCTTCACCCTTCTGCCTTATGTGGACAACGAGAGGACTGCTCTAGGTGGACTTGCCAGTCTCTAACACTCCAAAAGAGGAATGTTTGTTGATTAAACCACACGATTCCTGGGGTTTTGTTATAGTAGCCCACATGGACTAAGACACCATCTAACTACCCACAGTAAGGAAGGAAGATCCAAGTCCAAATAAAGCAGACACATATGGATTCACTCTCAAAAAGAAAAGCACATTTCCTTGTGCGTGCGAGAGGCACTGAGATCTGGGGTTCTCTCAGCAAGGCTCTATCAGGATCTGTGTTGTTTCTCCTTAGGTTTTGTAGGATGCTGTGAGGATGAAGCTAAGGAGTCCTCTCCTTAGTCCCTGGGAACAGAGTGATCACGACCTCACTCAGATCCTCAGCTCCTAAAGATTCCATGGAAGAACAGGGAGTGTTGAGGGGGGTTCTCTCTCTGTAAGCCCCTTCTAACCCACACAGTCATATTTTATGGGGGAGAGAAGAGCCTTTTCCAAGTCTGATCTCAGACCTGGATGGGCTCAGATTGGGTCACAGGCTGTGCACAAATTGTGGTTTTGGACTCTTGAAGTAAACAGCTTGGGTTTTGGCTTCTGGATAAAGAAGAGTTTCTATCATGACTGCAACCAGTTGCCTCATGATCCAAACATGCACAGTCGACTCCATTCTTAACCAGCTTTTATACTATATACTCAACTACATTCAGGATCAAGGGTACTTTAACTCTACTTCTTTTAAGCATTTAAAATATGTAAATATATTCCTTACATATTACAGCTATTTAATGAAACTTTGTTCATGGCCATCTAATATTCTCAACTGCCTGGAAAATTTCTAGGTTCACAAGTTTATGGATGTTTGTGCTGCTTGAGATGTACCACTAAACATCAGCATTTAGGAAGCTGAGGTTTCTTTATAAGATTTCTCACAGTGCTAGCATTAATATTGCTTTAAAATTGTGTTAGGAGCAGGCTTATGACCTGGAAGTGAAACAGTGATTGAAGTGCACACAGCATTATTTGAGTGCTCAGATTTTGATATCTTCCTCTGGCACCTGACCCCAGCTTCCTGCTAATGCAGACAAATTGGGAGGAAGCAGTGTTGTCTCAACAAGTCGGCTCCCCACTGCTGATGTTGAGACTCTAATTGAAGTTTTTGTTCCTGGCATTGGCTGTGACTCAGCTTCAGCTTTTGGGATCATTTGGTGATGTGCCTGTAGAAGGGAGTTCTAGGACCCGGCACGTTAGCATAGTGGTTAAAGTACTCACCTTGCATGCATTAGGATCCCATATGCACACCAATTCTAATCCCAGGAGCCCTGCTTCCCATCCAGCTGCCTGCTTGTGGCTGGGGAAATCAGTCAAGAATGGCCCAAACCTTGGGACCCTGCACCCACATGGGAGACCCGGGAGAGCTCCTGGCTCCTGGCTTTGGATTGGCTCAGCTCCAGCTGTTGAGGCCACTTGGGCAGTGAACCATCAGGAAGAAGATCTTCCTCTCTGTCTCTCCTCCTCTTTGTATATCTGCCTTTCCAATAAAAATAAAATAAATCTTAAAAAATAAAAACAAGGGAGCTCTATCGGCTTGCTCTCTATCTCTGCCTCTCCCTCCTTTTCTCTCTCTCTCTCACCCCCAGCTTGTCTTTCTCCTTCTGTCTGTCTCAAAATGATGTTTGATGATTGTAAGCAAATAATGTGCTATCAATAATAAAAATGACATCAACAATAGGTGGAATTTTTAAAGGCGATATTAACATGTTTCAGGTATTATACTAGTACCTGTACGTGAATTATTTAAATTAATGTCAACAAAACTATAGAGTTTGGGACTCGCCTCATCTGCCATGGAAATTCAGAATCACCTGTTCTGCTGCTTCTGCATATTTTTAAAGACCATAATAAAAGTATATATTTCATGCTTATTGTGTACTTATGCTTTTTGAGATAGACAAACTGAATATAGAATACTTCAAAACTAGGTAATGCTAAATATTTACTTAGAGAAAGTGATGATTCAGTCTTGGGAAAATACGAAACAGTTTCAATGCTGTTGTGTCCTAGGTCTGTTACTAAAATCTGTGATTCTGTGCATGCAGTTTAATGAGAGACATTTAGGAAAACTGTGCCACAGTTGAGCCCATGTTGTTACAACTCGTCATTGTTGGCAACTTCTCCACGAATGCCTAATTCCTTACTGAGGAAGGTACATGTGATCTTTCTCGTTAAGGAATGTGAATGAATGGAAGAAATTTGTTATGCATGCACTAATATAAAGCAGGTAGTCGCATAAAATCAGTTGTAAAAATGTCAGTGAGTATAAGTACTTAGGGTGAAAACCATACTTTCTTTTTTTTTTTTTTTTTTGGAAAGGCGGATATACAGAGAGGAGAGACAGAGAGGAAGATCTTCCGTCCGATGATTCACTCCCCAAGTGAGCGCAAGGGTCGGTGCTATGCCAATCCGAAGCCAGGAGCCTCTTCCGGGTCTCCCACGCGGGTGCAGGGTCCCAAAG